TGGAGCGAATGCCAGTGAATGTTGCAGTGGGGAGCCCCTTGGTGAAAATATCAGCAAATTCCGTAGTGGTAGGAACATGAAGCACACGGACCTCGCCAAGAGCCACTTTCTCACGAACAAAATGAATATCAATCTCGATGTGTTTGGTGCGACGATGCTGAACAGGATTGGACGCCATGTAGACTGCGGAAATATTGTCACGATAAACAATTGTTGCACGCTCAATTGGTCGATGGAGCTCAACCAGAAGCTGACGGAGCCACACAGCCTCGGGCACAGAATGAGCAACAGACCTATATTCAGCTTCTGTAGAAGATCTGGAAAATGTAACCTGCCTTTTAGAAGACCAAGAAACAAGATTGTCACCCAAATAAACACAAAAGCGGGATGTAGATCGTCGAGTATCTAGACAACCCGCCCAATCTGCATCAGAATAAACTGTCAAGCTTGTTGGAGAGGAAGAGTTAAGAAGAAGAACATGATCAATAGTACCTTTGAGATACCGAAGTATTCTCTTGACATGAGAAAAATGAGGAACACGGGGATCATGCATATATAAGCACGCTTATTGAACAGAATAAGATATATCAAGACGAGTGAGAGTGGCATATTGGAGAGCACCAGTGATACTGCGATATAGTGTTGGTACCAACATTGAGAGTGGCATACCGGTTCACCATCGGCCGACAACTTGGTACCAACATTGACCGGCGCACGACAGGGTTGACAGTCAGTCATCCCCGCACGAGAGAGCAAGTCAAGAATATACTGGCATTGAGAGAGAAAGAGTGTAGATGAAGTGCGGGAAACATTGATCCCAAGAAAGTGATGAAGAGGACCAAGGTCAGTCATGGAGAATTCATGATTAAGAGAAGAGATAATATGTTGTAAAAAGGAATCAGAAGAGGAAGTGAGAATTATATCATCAACATATAGTAGAAGATATGCAGTATGAAAGGAGGAACAAAAAATAAAGAGAGAGGAATCGGATTTAGATGAGGTAAAACCTAATGTGTGAATGAAGGTGGTGAAGCGATGAAACCAAGCACGAGGAGCTTGTTTAAGACCGTACAGAGATTTGTGAAGAAGACAAACAAAATCAGGAGAAGAGGAATTCTCAAAACCCGAAGGTTGTTGACAATAGATAGTTTCATTGAGAGTGCCATGTAGAAAAGCATTTTTAACATCTAATTGATGAATCGGACAAGAGGAGGAGACAGCAAGACTGAGAACAACACGAATGGTACTAGGTTTTACAACCGGAGAAAAGGTCTCATCAAAATCAATACCGTGTTGTTGAGAAAAACCACGACATACCCAACGAGCTTTATAACGCGCAAGCGTACCACCAACATGAAATTTGTGACGGAAAACCCATTTGCTGGAAACAACATTGACATCGGGTGGTTTGGGAACGAGAGTCCAGGTGTTATTTTGCTGAAGAGCATGAAACTCGTCACGCATAGCAGAATGCCAGAGAGGATCGAGAAGAGCACGTTTGTGAGAGGTAGGAATAGGGGAGACAATGGGAATAGCCGTGAGATTAAGACGTCGTGTAGGAAGGTGAAAGCCACGCTTACCACAAGTGCACATGACATGATCGTTGGCCGGAGGTATGATAGCAACAGCACTGGATGAAAGAGGCGGTGTTGAGGAAGAAGAGGAAGAAGGGGAAGCGAGAACAGGGGAGATAGGCGTGGGCGGAGAGGTAGCTGTCGTCAAGGGAGGAGTGGGGGGCGCGGAAGGCTATGGTGAGGGAGGAGTGGGCAGCACGGCGGGAGGCTGATGTCGGGTTGCGTGAGGATGCTCTGGTGGCTGTTGCTCCGCGGCAATCGAGGTAGGAGTTAGACGAGGGAGTAGAGAAGATGAAGAATGGACAGGGGATGGTTGGTGCGTAGGTGATGATTGTGTAACAGCGTAGGGAAAAGTGTGTTCGTCAAAGACGACGTGACTGGAAATAATGACACGATCGGATGAAGGATCGAAGTAGCGAGAGCCCTTATGATCATCGGAGAGACCAAGATAGATGCAGGGTAAAGACCTAGGCTCTAGTTTATGTGAGGTTGTAGAAGTGATGTTGGGAAAACAGAGACAACCAAAAACGCGGAGAGAAAGATAGTCGGGATGGGAAAGAAAAAGAGATTGAAAAGGGGTGTAGAGAGGACATGTTTTGGTTGGTCTAATATTTAGAAGAAGTGTGGCAGTACGTAGTGCTTCAACCCAAAAACGGGGAGGGAGAGAAGCTTGAATAAGCAAAGTGCGAAGAATATCATTGATGGAGCAAAGAGAGTGTTCTGCTTTTCCGTTTTGAGGGGATGTATAGGGGCAAGAAAAGCGAAGGATGATGCCGTGAGAGAGAGAAAGTGTGATTGCGAGTATTATCAAATTCACGTCCATTGTCGCATTGAATAAAGCGTATTGGATGACCAAAGTGGGTTAGAACATATTGACGAAAATTGAGAAATGTCCAAATATAATGGGAATAATCATCAAGAATTACAAGATAGTATTTATAACCAGAAACACTAGGAATTGGAGAGGTCTATAAATCACAATGTAGTAATTCAAAAGGAAAAGTACTAATAGTAGAGGAGGTACCAAAAGGTAGTCTAACATGTTTGCCACATTGACAGGCATTACAAAGAGAGGAACCATGAGAGACACTAGAGCTAGGGATACAAAATTCTTGTAGTAATGATGATAGGGTAGCTTTATTGGGATGACCAAGCCGACGATGCCATACATCAATTGATGCAAGCATGACGCGAGGAGTGGAAGTGGGGGCGCCATGAAGAGGATAAAGATTGCCTGTGCTATTGTACCGAGCGAGAACCTTTCCTGTTTTCAGATCCTCCACAGATAAACCAAAGGGGTCAAAGGCAAGAATAACTTGATTATCGATGGTACACTGACGAACAGAGATAAGATTGGCAATTAAAGATGGGACTACAAGAATATTACGTAAAATAAAATTGTTAGAGGAATAGGGGATGTAAGAGTCACCGGTGCAAGAGACAGAAATAGTGGAACCATCACCAATGGTAATGGAAGAAAAAGAAGAAGGAAAACAAGCTGCCAAAAAATTCATATTTGAAGACATATGCATGGATGCACCAGAATCAAAATCCAATCCGTACCTTCGTTGTTGAGGGTGAAATTGTTCATGGCGGCGATGAAGGCAGCCTGATCCCAGCTTGGCGATGTTGTGGAAGTAGAAGGGGCAGGCACGTTATTGGTGCATGCTGACCGTATGCGTACGGTGACGGCGCCGAAAGAGCACCGGGCGCATAGGGAACCAGGGCATAGCCGGGCGGAACTACGGGGGCGCCGGGCGAGGTCGGTGTAGTGGTGGCGGTGTAGACGTGAGCCGGCGGTCGGGGTTCGAGGAGACCAGGAGAGCCGGCGGCAGGACGAAGGCCCTGGCTCTAGGATCACGTGTATGCTGGAAGGGCGCCCGTAAGGAGATGGAGCAGACCAAGGCATGGGCCATGCCTGAACCAGCCCGGTCCAGGGATCTTGCTGCGGGTGCCATGCTGGTGGAGTGGATGCCGGCGTAGACGATGATGATGACGCTTGTAACACCCGGATAATTATGCAACAGTAATCACGCTAATGGTACCATGTCATCGAGATTTACAGTGGTTAAGTTCACGTTGTTTCGAAGTCGGTTCCGTTTTCATATTTAAAATGAGTAAAAAAAGAAAGGCAAAAGTAAGTAAAATAAAAGGAGAAGGCAACCCCAAAAAGAACAGAAAAGAAGAACCTCCCC